TGTTACACCAGAAGAGATAGAAGTTCAGCCTGACTTGACATATGAGGAAGAACCGGTACAAATATTGGCTCGTAAGGTGAAATAGTTACGGAATAAGACTATTTCATCTGTCAAGGTATTATGGAGAAACCACAAAGTATATGAATCAACGTGGGAACGTGAAGAAGACATAAGGAATCAGTACCCCATCTCTTTATGCAGTGAAAATTCGAGGACAGATTTTCTTAAGGGGAGATTTGTAATATCCAAAATACTGGGTTAATGATCAAATCGTAAATTTTTAGAATTTAGTAACTAAAGTAGATTAATTGAAAAGTTTAGGGACTTATATGGAAAATTTTGTGTCAGACTGAATATCAAAGAAGGATGATTAAAAGGGCAAAATGGTCATTTGACCAATAAATGAATTAAAAATGTGTTATGGTGAGGATATATACAAGTGGAGCTTAGGAAAGAGAAAAAAGGAAATATCAATAATTATCTTCACACTTCTTCATCCCTTCAACGTGAAGGTAAGTTTGATTTTTCAAGTGGTTTTCCTACAATTAAGGAATGGTTTTGATTGATGGAGCATAGGGAAAGACTATGGAAACTTGGATAAAGAAACTATAAGAATGGTAAGTTATGGGGGATTAAAGGTAAGAGGTTTCTAAGTGAAATCTTGGAAAATAAGTAATAAGTAAAGTTTAAGATGAATTTTGACTTGTCATCAGTTAGATTAAGAAGCATGAAGTGTTAGAATTGAAATTATAGTATGTTGGAAAATTAGTAGGATTCTTGGTTTCAAGATATAGGATGAGAATTTGAAGATAATGGTGTGTTATATGGATATAATATATCATTTGAGTAAATGTAGTTAAGTTTAATGGAAAGAATGGAGTTCAAAATAGAAGGTTTAAAGGAGTATTGGTAAATTTTTGGGGTTAAGAAGTAACTTCTAGGTTATGAGTATCGGTATTGATTCATCCAGTACCGATACTTCAAAGATAAACGAGTAATATTTGGAGTAGGGGTGTCGATACTGGTTGAACAATATCGATACCATAAGCCAAAATTGGATAAGTTATTCAAGAAGTATCGATATCTAAATGGTAGTATCGATACCAAGGGTACCGATTCCATAAGGCAAGTAACGATACCATTTTGAAATAAGGATTCCAGAATCAGGAAAGGGTATCGATACCCAGGCTCTGTATCGATACCACAGCTAGAGAAGTGTCGGTACCATACCTTGGGTACAGATACTACTCAAAGTGGAAAAATTGTTTTAAGCATTTCTTTTAGCTTGGGTTATTAAGGATCATATTATAATATTTAGAATTCTGATATGCATATCAAATGTATGATTGTGTATATATCGAGCATAAGCAAGTTTCAGAACGATCGAAGAGTTAGGAACGATCAAGAGAAAGATAAAGTCATAGAAGTTGATTTGGACTTCGTAAGGCTAAGGTGAGTGCATACTATAGTATTAACGTTGGTTTATGGAAACAAGACTTGGGACAAGTCTAATTCCTATGTTTATATTTCATGGTTCAATAAGTTAGGAACATGCATATGTTATGATCATTATGAGTACATGCATAAATAATATATGTTTATATGTTTTAATATATGTTATGTGGTACATGTGAATATAAAGGAACAAACGTAAGCTATATGGTATGAGAATAATGATTATATGCACCCATGAGATATGTTACGAGATACAACATATGTGATTACATGAGAAATGATATGAGTTATATGAGAATATGAATATTTGATAAATTAGTGATTATATGGACATATGAAGCATATAAATATTCAAGCCCATGTTAAGTGATATGAGAGTTGTGGGTACAGTTAGCATGCCAAGAGTCAAGAGATATATGAGGTCCTTCAGGGCATAAACGAGCTCCTTTGGGACAAATTTTATATGTCACTCAGTGGAAAATTATATGAGTTGTGGTGACAGCATATGTGCACAACCTTAATGCACTCACATACCTTAAGTTCTTAGTAATATATGGCACATAAAAGATATAAAAAAAGTTTACTTTCTTATAAGATATCATGTTATTATTGTTAATGGTGGATCATATGTGACTTGATTGAATAGTGATATGATAGTTGTGATTGTATATGAAATAATTGGGTTGCATGTTCATACTTTAGGAAATGCATTATTGTAATATATGCTCACTAAGTCTATGACTTAGTGTGTGAGTGTTTCACACGTAGTACCAAGAAGCAGGAGGATCAGAATTAGGATTTGCAGAGAGAGCATACCTCTACCAGCATATCAGATTAGAAGTAATTTACACAGTATGTAATTTTGTTGTATCAAGTGTGTTGGCATGTAGACAAAGTTGTGAATTACATATGCTCTAATCGATTTTTGTAATATTTTGATCATACTTATGTAAATTAGTTAATTTTATTTTAATTAAAGTTTAAAGTTTTTTATGATTTTTGTAAGTGTAAAGGTTTTAAAAAGCCAAAGTGACACCTCAGATTCATATTCGGGTCAGGTACGAGTTATGGTGTTACACTAACGTTCCCATATTTGCGATTTGGTTCTCAAACTTTACCAACTTTCCAAACTATCTAATTTTCATCTTCTAACATCAAATTCAACATTCTAACATTAAATTCCAGCATGGAACAACATCTATTTAATAATTGCACATCAATCCCATAATTTTCATAACTTAGGAATAAGTCCCTTAACTTTCAAAAATTACAAAATGGTCCCAACAACTTTGTAGAGTTTGTACAACCTTCCAAATATCATTTCTAAGCTTAAGGAAATTTTCCATAATTTTCCCTAATTTTCTTAATTAGGTCGAACACTTGGGGTTAAGGATTTCACGATTTCCAACTTGATTAAGCATTAATTCAACGTATAAACAACATGTCAAAGCTTCTACAATCAAACCCTAACATAATTTAACCATATCACAACTTTTTCAAAACCCTAGGTTATGGACGAATCAATTAGGGCTTGATTTCAAGTGTTTTAATCATCATACAAGCTTAGAAACAACTCTACAACATCAAAATCTATATCAATTTATAAAAACCCAAATATCCCTTCATCACCATAATCATGAACTTTTTATTTCAAGCATGATTAACATGCATAATTGGTACCAAATGATATAGCAGTTCGAATAGAACAATTTTCTATTTCACTCTTTAATCCAAAAACCAAGGAAATTGCTTGAAAATGAAAAATAAATTTTTTCATCCATACCTTGTGAAGCTCACATCCATGACTAATTTTGAAGAAGGATTGTCATGAAATTTCTAGTTAATTTCATGTAAATTTTCCATTTATTAAGCTTAAATAAATAAAAAATTCAATTAATGGGAAATGACAATTTTACCCTTAATAAAACTTGATAATTACAACCATATCTTTCCACTTGTTAATTATCAACTTTCAAAGTCAAAGATGAACAAATTATTTTGCCCTTTACAACTTTACCCATGTACTTTTCCAAAAACTTCAATCATGTCATTTTCATCCAACGATTCATAATGAACATGAAAATTAATTCTCAAATCCAATGAACTATATTATTTTCTATCATTCTAAAACGTGGAAATAATATTTCTAATCTTAATTTATGATCCTTCAAAATTTGTCAAATTTTCTATTCGATCTGATTTATCGAATTTTTACCGAACTTTAACACTTTATACTTTTAACACAAATTCTAGATCAAAAATTTGATTCCCACGAAAACGTCATTCTTGGGGGTGACCTATTCATTTATTGGATAAAATTTCTTTATGAGAAAAATATCACTTTTGTCCCTAAAATTTTCTCAAATTTATACTTTGGCCACTAAACTTTTAAAATTTATGCTTTGATCACTAACCAAAATTTTGGGGTGTTACAGGGTAGGAGTGTTACAATAATATCTAAAATTGACATTTCTTTTTCAAAATCAATTTTTGATTGCAATCAACAACAATTAAATTTTAAATATCACTTTTCAAAAACACTTTTTAAAGTACTTTACTATTTCGATATTACTTTTGAAGAAAATGATATAAAAAGTAATTTTAAAAGTGTTTTTGAATAGTGATATTTAAAATTTAATTTTTTGAAATTGTTGTTAAAAAAGTGAATTTAGAAAGATAAAATGTCAATTTTAGACATTATATTGTAAATTAAAATTAAATAATTGAGGATAAAATATAAGTTCATCCAAAAATTGATTTTCCACAACAAAAATTAGAAATTTCAGACCATGATTTAAATTAATTTTTGAGTGTTTGATGTTACTTATGAGGTGGAAAATAATTTTTTTAAACATTTTTAACTTGATGTAAATTAAGTGAAAAATTTAAATTAAAATATATAAAATATTATCAAATGTAAACCAAATGGTAAATTTGATTATTTAATTGTGTTTTTATCTTCTCATAAATCTTAAGTTCGAGTCTTCCTTTCATCTTTGTTCTATTTATTTTTCACAACTAAGATATATATAAATTAATAACCAACTAAAGGTATTGGTTAAGTGATTGTGTGTGGGCTTAGCTTCCCGAAAAATCTAAGTTTGAGTCCTCTTTTGTTATATTGGATGATTAAATTAAATTAAAAATTAAAATTGATATAATATGTAAGTAATGAGGATTAAATTGTGTAATTATATAAAATATTAATCATCATATCAATAATCCTGTTAACTATTGGTGTCTTGAAATCCTGTTAACTATTGGTGCCTTGATTGGTAACATTTTAATAGTTGATTGACCAAATTGAAAATATATTTAGTTTGATGGTTCAAATAAAATTGACCTTATACTTAATGACTCCTTTAGTAGTTTACCCTAAAATATTAATATTAGTATAAAAGTAAATTTTAATATTTTTTAATATTAAGAATAAATTATTAAATCCATATTTATTAAGAAATCCTTTGTTTTTTTATCAGAAATAAAACAGAAAAAAACCCTTTAGAAAAGGGGATGAACCTTTGGATATCTATACTTTCAAGGGATGATATTTTGAAGGGATTAACCTCCCAACACTTGAAAACGATGAATCATTCAATCATTAGTTTAAGCTTCAAATCAATTATAAGTTGTACACAACTTATATATCTACTATTAGTATTATTAGTTCAAGACCCAAGCAGGAGGCCCAAACCCGTATCCAAATTACAACAGACCAACCCAAACCCGATTAGGGTTTCCATCTCAAGTTTCAGCCGCCTCCAGCTCTACACCATTGGACCTAATGACTGTCAAGGGTCCAGATCACTTCAGATTAAAGTAAACAAAAGAAACCCTAGATGGAGATTTCAACCAGTCGCCGCTGTCGGCACTGAGCCACCACCCAACTGGCGCGTGAATCCCCCCGCTCGTCTCCTCGCCGTGTAAGCTGACGTCGTCGTCGTCAACAGTAACAAATATCAAATCAGTAAGAAAATCAGCCCAAAATCTAAAAAAAACCCAATTAAAAAAAATCCTAAATCCCTAAATATTCAGATTTTGTACTTACCCAGGCCTAGGAAAATCATTCCTACCGAATAGATATCATCATTTACATCCAATAAAGGATCCCTAAATATACATGCAAGATTTTTTGGGGGTAGATTGGAACACAGAAGAAAAGAGGGGAGAAAAAGAACAAAAGACAGAGAGCCAGAGAAAAAACCAAGAACATTCAAACACAAAAAAGAAAAGAAAAAAAGAGAGAAACTTTGAAAAAAAAACAGAAACCCACTCGAAAAAGAAGAACCACCAATGAAGAGACTTCCCTTTTCTCGGTCGAAATCGTGACCCCGTTGAGCACAAAGCCTTCGTTTTTTTAAGGTAACCACCAGGAACATTTTAGATCTAGGACAAAGGGCATTGTTTTAGGGGAGTAGGGTTTGGTTTTCGACTAGTGGGTGAGGAGGGGTTTCATTTGGGGCTAACTTGTCCCTCGATGGACATCAACCCACGGTGGCCGGAGGGTGGTTGTTTATCTCCCTCGGTGGGAAGATGAGAGAGTTGAGAGAGTCTTCACCCTCTCTAAAAAGGAGAGAAAGAGCGTAAGGTGGAAAATGAGAGAGTTGACGATTATTGGTTTGAATTTCGGCTATATAACTCACGTATGGAACGATGCTGTTTAGGAGGGGCTGGGTGAGCATTTTTAGTGCTTGGTATATCCGCAGGAAGGGTCCTTTAGTTTTTGTAATATTTATATGTTAGTCATCGAATGAAGTTTCCTTGTTCCTATTTCGAACTTTATTTTGATATGGTTATGACTTAGTCCTGAGTTTGTTCTATTTTATTATTTTATTAATATTTTCGATTTAAGCAGCTAACTTATGAAATGTTCATTTTAATCATTGTTTAGGTTTTTTATTTACAAGGTCAATCACTCCACGTTTGTTGATTTACTATCCAGTCATTATTTTAATTTTGTTTATTTCGCATATATGTCAATATATTTATTGTGCACTTCATTTGAGTCCTTTGTGATTAATGCAAGAAAATGTGTGTTTTATTTGTGCTCTTAATAGTTTAATTCCTGCTTTGTATACACTAGTCATTGTTTTAATTTACATGACATATATATATTAGATTCTCTAGCAAGTATTTGTAATTATTTAGCTTTATCTTAACTTTAATATGGTGTTTGATTTTTGCATTTTTTTACTTCTTTATTCGTCTTTATTATGTCTATTTGTGTTGTTGTTATTATGCTTCATGGATGTATATTGTTTTGGTGTTATATGTATGTGTATATGTTTATATATGTTCTTAATCATCACATGCTTCCGTATATTGTATTTTCATTTTTTATTTTATTTTATTAAATGTCCATTTATCAATATTCTTTAATTAGTGATAATATATTTTGAATTTCTTATTCGAATATTTTCAAGAACATTCATTTGTAGAATGTGCGTGAGAAACACCACTTGATCGAAGTAATGTGATTTGATACGACATTCGAACGAAATGTGTACTTGAAATAAATCGAGTTTGCATTTACAAAGTTGATAATTAATTTACTTTCATTTTTTATTTAAAGGATGCAATATATTTCTTTAAGTAGTACTTCATTTTATCTTGTTATCAATATTCCCTTTATATATTCGATTGTTTTTTTTACATTGGAGAGAGAAAAATTTCTAGTGTAAAAGAGAAGTAGAGGGGATAGCCTTCCCATCAGAAGATATGTAAATCCCGTGATTTCTCTTTAAAACAAGAATGCCCTTTAACAAATAATTGGAAAAATATCATTTTTAATTAAAGGATCGTAATTTAAATATTGATATGAATTCACAATTTTCACCATTTACGATGATGTGTAAGGGACTAAGTACCAATTTCTAGGCGTTGTGGAAGTTCTTATACTTCCCCACGCGTAATCGACTTCAGAACCCTTAAAAAATAAATTTTTGGATAACGCAGATCAATTTTTTTCTTAAAAAATGATTTTTCCTTAAAATTGTTTTAAATGACATTTTTAGGTATTCGGCCTACCTAACCTAAAGGTCGATGGCGACTCCAATTCAATTTAATTCAAATAATTCAAAATCATCAATTCTTCAAAATAAAGTTGTAATTGTTTTTAATAATATTAAATTGTTTTCAGAAAAAAATGGTTATGACAATATTACTAATTAACCATCACTTATAGTAATGATTTAATGATTCAATATAATATTTCCTCATTTAAATGATCATCTTTATATCTCTTGCAATAACTTCTAGCTTTGAATTTGGACTGTTGATAATATATATTCATATAAATTTTTTATTTTAAATATTTATGGATTCAATTAGTTTAAACTAAAATTTATAACTCTGAATTAGGGATGTGATTATATATGTGCACATAAAATTTTTGAATTATAAATAATAAAGAACAATACTGAAAGTTATAAAGATAAAGAGTGTGACGGTTGACTTGAAAATTTAAAGGATGGCCAAAAATCTAAAGGTTGACCTAAATTGAAACTGATCCTAATTGACCCGAAAATCTAATGATTGATCTGAACCGAAATCAACCGATTTGATATTGACTCAATCTAAAACCAGTTGATCTGATATTAACCTGACTTGAAAATTAACCGATTCGATGTTGACATGATTTGATATCCAACACGAAGTGAATTTTCATAGACCCGAACTAAACCTAAATCAAATATAGTCTAGACCTTAAATTAACTCAACTCAAAATAAACCGGTCCAAATGAACCGTTTACTACCTCTATTGGGAATATAATCGTGAGAAAAGATTCTTTGTTTACGATTTTATGTGCTATAACTGACATGAACCTTTATTTTCAAGTTTTTATTTGGATCATAGTAGTAATAGATTAAAAAAATCTAAGGATATATATATATATATATATATATATATATATATATATATATATATAATTGACACGGGATTAGACTGTCGATTAGCTGGTATGTGCGGCCGTTAGTCGCTTGGTTCGGTTGTTGGGTGCTAAGACAACCTCGAAACCTAAGCTTGGTGGCTTAGCTTGTCACGAAAGTAAGCACAAAGAGAGCATGAACGGAAATAAGAGATGCACGAGAGTATAGGCCTGAGAGTGCTTTGATGTGCACGGATGCACATTGGTGGGCGTTGAACTCGCTCTCATGGTCGCGGTCTGTGACAATAATAATTGTTTTTATAAAGATAAATAGAAATAAAATTATATATGAATACAATCAACAAAAAAAAAATAATAAAAATAAAATTTTAAAATAGACATAAAATTTAAATCCATCAATAGATCACATCCTAAGATTAAATTTAAATTTGAATATTATTTTATCTTTTTAAAAATAAATAAATTACTCTCATAATCTCATTAGTTCATCACAATGAGTTGTTTCCGGTTTTTAAATACAGGTAAAAAGATATCGTTGTACTTAAAAAATTAATATGGTCTTCCAATTAATTTTTATACCTATATGGTTTTTTAACTTAGAAAATAAATTTAATCTAACCATTTGACTAATATTTTTTATTATTGACCTTTATGATATTGACATTAAAATTCATAATGTTGATATAACGATTCACGACAATTGTAAACATGACAAATAGACAAAATTATTTTTTTGGTCTTATTCGAGCGCCAAATTAATCTTTTTTAAGTTAAGGAGTTTATTTAATTTTTTTAAATTAAAATTATCTTAAATTATTTTTTAAACTCAATAAAATAAGCAGGTCTCGAATTCAAGTCCTTATTTATACAGAAAATCATTGATGAGAGATTCACCCACCAAAATAGGTGTGAGACCTGGATCGGTATGGATTAATGAAGAAAAAACTCAGGAGGGCAACCAAAAAATAATAAACAATTAAAATTTTAAATTTAAATAATTTTTATATTGAAATTTAATTTAATTAATATTATTGTTAATTTAATACACATAAAAACGTAGTAACTAGTAAACAAATTTAAACATGTAGTATTATTTAATTTATTAATTAAAAGAATCTTAATAATTATCAACAACTTTATATCAAATTGTTAAAAGAAATAGAATTTTCTCACCTCATAAAACAAATGACAAGATTAATAAAAGTGTTAATAAATAAAAGGAAAAAACAAAAAAACTAGGGGTCGTTTTACAGGCAGTATTCAACTCTCGGTCTCAATCTTGGGGGCGGGAAGTAGGCTTTTGCAACTCACCCAAAGAATATTTAATGCTACAAAACATCCTCTCTTTATATTTTCTCACTTGTTATCCATTGTTTTCCTTTGCTTTTCTTTTCTTTTCTAGTATAAAAGCTTTTCGTAGTTGTTCATGGCCCCTGGTTTTGCTATCTTCCCACCATTATATGCCACCTCCTCTCGCTACAGTCTTCCAAAATCTTCACATTTTTCCAAGGTGTTGTTCTTTTTTCAATACCAAGGCTTATCTTCTTGATCCAAACGAATCCATTTCCACCTGTGTTAAAACCATTCAAAGGCTTCACATTTTCTTCTTGCTTCTTTCGTCTTCTTTACTGGGAGGGTTTGGACTTTGGACCGTTTGATCGAAGATTCTTTCTTTTGTTGAATTTTGAATTTCTGGGTTTTAGTTGCACGAAATCAGTGATCTTTGATAATTTTGTGTCAACTTCTAATGTGATGGTGAATGCGGGTGGATTGATGGATCAAAAAAAGGGTATCATGAAGATGAAACATGCGAAGAGCAAGGTGAGATACGTTAAGAAACCGATCAAGAAGAGCTACAATAAAAAAGTTATTTGATTCATGTAGGGAAGTGTTTAAGGGCCCTGGAACTGTTCCTCCTGATTCTGATGTAAACAAACTATGCAGCATTCTGGGTGAGTTTCTTGACTGAATTCATCGCTTGTTTTTGTTCGATTATTTGTTTATAAGAAAAACCCTAGGTTTGGCTTTGTTCGCGTACTATTTTTCCCATGAAAACACTTAACCAAATCAAAGAAACTGCGGTTGAATAGTTAGAATCAATGCAGTCGGTTTCCCTAGGATATTCATAAATGCATGTAATTTCTGGTGCATGAATTTGATCAATTATGTATTTATCATGCACTGTATCCAGATTGCAGGTGGTCTAAATATGCTTAGCTGCCGTCAATCAATCAAAATCCAACAGTACTCTACAAAAACTGGAGCTTTTAACTTTTTAGTTAATAACTTAATCTGCTTTAGCTCACATGTCTTTGTTACTTTTCAACAACATCAA